CCAAATTAAACCCTGCGGCTCGTGATGATACATTGATGTGTAAAGACACGAAACGATCGGTCTGTGAATGGACCGCTGAAATGGATCATTGACACTCTATCTACAATCTCAATTAGGAGTGTCAATGGTCCATTTGAGAGATAGGTGGCGGTAATGCACTTATAAGTCTGCGATCTGCCGTAAAGCAAGAAGAAGAAGAAGACGCGTCATGCGCCGGCTGAAGAAGAAGACACGAATGCGCTGAGGACAGTTCGGACATTGCGGTGAATCAGAGGTTAAAAAACGATATAAATACTGTTCAGTTTCTTGCACAAACCGATCGTTTCGTGTCTTTACACATCAATGTATCGTCACGAGCTGCAGGGTTTAATTTGGTTTTGTTTGTGTATGTTTCACTTCCATTATATGACTGACAGACTGCAACGGTTTGAGCTAAAAATCTTCGTTTGCGTTCTACTGAAGAAACAAAGTCACCTACATCTTGGATGCCCTGGGGGTAAGCAGATAAATATAAAATTTTCGTTTTTGGGTGAACTATCCCTTTAAGAAAAACACCCAAATTCATCAGAAGTTTCTATATATTTTGTTCTTGGAAGTGAACTACAGTATGATTTGCTTTCCCCCAACATTCAATCCGATGTCCTGTTCTTAACTAACAGCAGTTGTTGAGCTCTTCTGCTTCCTTTCGACTTTACAGTTTGACATGTTGTGCATTCAGAAATGCTTTTCTTTGTAGCACTACTGTAACATGTGGTTATGACTTCTGTAAAAGTTTCTGTTGCCGTCCTGTCAGCTCAAACCTGTTTGACCATTCTTCTCTGACTTGTCTTTAAGGCGTTTTTCTCCCTGAGAAACTGCTACTTACTGTTTTTGGTTGTTTACACCATCTCTGTAAACTCTAGAGACTCTCATGTGTGAAAACCCCACAAGATCAACAGTTTCTGACATACTCGCTTACAGTAGATCACATTTCTTCACCCATTCTGATGTTTGGTTTGAACAAGAACTGAACCTCTTGTCCACATCTGCATGCTTTTAAGCATTGACATAGATATATTAATTTTCATTGCCCAAGTTCACTGATTTCCTTACTTGCTGCCTGATATGAAATTTCTGAAATCAAGTCCCTTTCAGTTAGTCAACACAAGATAAACTTTATGCCTCTGCTTATGAATTCTGCAAAAAGATTTGAAATTGTAGCGCTAAATTAGGTTAATTTTGAATGTTTTAATGGCAGATCCAGGCCAACTTTGACTTCAACGAGCTGAATAAGATGTGCTGGACTTTATCTGCACCAAAGCACATCAGTAGCAAACATCTGCTCATCTCAGAGGCTGACACCTTCAAGGTCTGGTGCATCTTCAACTTTCTGTCTGAAGATAAATATCCACTGCACATTGTCACAGAAGAGGTTGGTTCTAGTGCTTTTAGTGGTTTTTATATCTTTTTCTAATGACATGATAATCAAATGGAAATAACGCTGTATTTTGTATTGTAACAGCTCGAGTATTTCCTGCGCAGGCTGTTTGCAGCAATGGGTTGCAGTTGGAACGAGGACAGGTTTGAAGGCTACAAAATGCAGCTCGGTGCAAAGAAAAAACATCTGAATGCTTGGGAACTGATTGAGCTTATTGGCATGGGCCATTTCACCAAGGGCATAAACCCTCAGACTCTCTCCATGGGCATCAATGAGGTCTATCAGGAACTTGTAATGGATGTTGTTAAGCAGGTGGGAGTCTGTGTTAAAGCCAATGTAAATATCCACTCTCCAAAACTGGAGAAATAAACAGATCTTCCTTACAAGTGATTAACTTGCCTTTTTTATTCAAAAAGGGCTATATGATGAAAAAAGGCCATAAGAGAAAGAACTGGACAGAGCGATGGTTTGAGCTCCATCTCAATTACATGTCCTATTATGTGAGTGAAGACCTCATAGAGCAGAAGGGATGTATTTCACTTGATCGCAACTGCTGTGTTGAGGTAATATCAGAACATTTGTTACAATATTTGTTGTAATTAAAGGTCTTTTCAAGTTCGCACAAACAAGAACTTTGTCATCATTTACACACCCTCATATTATGGAAGATTATTTCTGCCACACCTTTTTATCTCATAATTCAGAATTTCTCCCCTCATTATTGTGAGAAAAAAGTCATAATTGCGAGATAAAAAGATGCAATCACCTTTTTTATTTTTTAAATTCTCTGGCAAAATTAAGCTTCCATATGTCGATCCAACCCTGTATGATTTCTTATGAAAGCAGACGTTTAGCAGAATGTCCAAGCTGCTCTTTTCCATACAATAAAAGTCAATGGGTATTAGGGCAGTCAAATGAAAACAAGCAGCCCATATGACTTATGCACTATATTGCAAGTCGTATGAAAGTGTTGCGTAAGGAAAAGACCAAATTTTAAAGGGATAGTTCACCCAAAATTGAAAATTTTCTGTCATCTATCATTCACTCACCCTCATGTTGTTCCAAACCTGTATGAGTTTTAATTCTTCTGCTGAGCACAAAATAAGATATTTTGAAGAATGTTGGCAACCAAACAGTTGAAGGTAGCCACTGACTTCCATAGTAACATAGTCAACTGTTTGGTTACAAACATTCTTCAAGATATCTTCTTTTGTATTCAACAGAAGAAAGAAACTCACCCTCAATACAGATTTGGAAGAACTTGAGCGTGAGTAAATGATGACAGAATTTTCATTTTTGGGTGAACTATCGCTTTAAGTTGTTATCCACCAAAAATCATTAAGAACATTTATTCAAACTTGGCACTTAAAGATGCATGTACAACAACATTATAAATTCTTTCATGTTTCACGACTGATCACACAATGTTACATTTAAATATTTTGAATTAAATGAAAGCCTTAATAGAAATGAAAGCCACAGCGGAAAAGCATACAGGATTGGAAAAACAAAATAGTGAACAAATGTTGACAGAATTTAGATTTTTGGCTAAACTGTCCCTTTAAATATCTAAATTGCTCTGTCTTTGCAGTCCTTACCAGACAAGGATGGAAAGAAAAACCTCTTTATTATAAAATGTGTTGAGAAAAGTTTTGAGATCAATGCATCGGATAAAAAGGCAAAACAAGAGTGGATTCAAGGTATTGCATATCTGTGCTGGTTACACACAGAGTTTACACTTTTGACTGTGAAATATTTGTCTATCCACAACTTCATGTGTTCATGTGTATTCAGCCATCCAGGACTGCATTGTCCACATAAGGCAAGGCCTTTCCTCCCCACACCGAGAATCCAGACAGAAACGCAGGGAGCTGAGAAACAGGATGAAAGCTGAACAGGAGATGATGGAGAACAGAATGAGACAGCTGCAGTTGGCCAACGAGAGCAAGCAGGCCCAGCTGGAGGCCATGACCAAGGTACTCTAATCCTCCTTAAGTTATTGAAAGATACAAATACAAGTTACCTGCTAAAACCTGCTTGTTTCAAGCTATTTTAGTAGTATCTCTATTGGAGATATTGGATTAAAGGTGCATTTAGTAGTTCTATATCTAGTGGTAGCATTGCTGTTCATTGTGTACTTGAAGTTCTGATACCACAGTGGTGTTGATGCACTGCCATCTGTCAACATGGATCAGCATGATCATCTCTCAATTTTATGTAATTGACTCAATACTAGTGAGTTTTAGAGAGTGGTCCACACAATAATGAGTCCTGTCTAACAAAAAAGAAGCAACTTGGGCATCACTACTTTCATATTTTCTTCATCATTAAATCTTTCCACCTTGTGTTTTCTGTACCGATGTTTACTTTTAGTCTTTGTTGGTCTTTCATGCCACACAATTACTGATTTTACCATTGTCTCTGCTGGTGAAGCATGACAATACGTGCATTCCAGTGTCTAAATTTTTGCTTTTTGTATCACCAAACAACACTACATATGCAAGCATACCACATTCTGATGACTCTTCTCAAAGACACAATTTATTTCTTGTGCAAAACTTATATCATAAATTAGCACCAGACTGAATGCCTTCAAATGGGTCAGGAAATGCATATTTAGATCTTTATATTATGTTTCTGGAGGTTAGCTTATGAAGGTAGCAAAGTTTATTGCATAAAAAAAATACAATACATTGCATTTTTGTAAAAATGATCATTTTCCATCCTCATCTTTAATCTCTGTCACAAGCGCTTCATTTCAAGTGATGCTACCTCTTTCGCAAATCTGAGTAGATGGCCACTGCTGTGACTGGTGAACGTGTGTTTTAAAGCTAGCTAGTCAGATTAAAATGAACCAGTGCTAACACAACAATTGCCTCCAAGGACACAATACTTGGCAATGCTATAGCTTTCAATACAAGATATACAAAACATTCTCTTTCAAACCTGGCATGTTGGTAAAAATAAGCTTAAAGGGTTAGTTCACCCAAAAATGAAAATTCTGTCATTAATTACTCACCCTCATGTCGTTCCAAACCCGTAAGACCTCTGTTCATCTTCGGAACACAAATTAAGATATTTTTGATGGAATCTTAGCGCTCTCTGACCCTCCCATACACAGCAAGGTTACTACCACGATCAAATAAAGTTTTTTTTTTTTTTTCTTTTGCACACAAAAAGTATTCTCGTAGCTTCGTAATATTACGGTTGAACCCCTGATGTCACATGGATTATTTTACCGATCTCCTTGCTACGTTTCTGGACGTTGATCGTGGTAGTACCCTTGCTGTCTATGGGAGGGTCAGAGAATTCTCAGAATTAATCAAAAATATCTTAATTTGTGTTTCGAAGATGAACGGAGGTCTTACGGGTTTGGAACGACATGAGGGTGAGTAATTAATGACAGAATTTTCATTTTAGGGTGAACTATCCCTTTAAGCTGTGCATTTCTAGTAGATCTTTTAGAAGGATATCCCTAGTGAAAAATAAATATACCTAAATGTATTTGAAATACATTTATTTCATGTTAAGTATACTACAAATACATTTGATATATTTAAATTTATGTACTCAATAAAATGTCCTGCAATTGTACTTTTAGTATACTAAACTGGTATACTTAAAGTAAATTGGAACAACTAATTTTGTACTTAATGCACTTTAATTGTTCAGAAGTAGTGCTGAAGTACAATTAAAGATATACTTAGTATATTTTATTGTGCTAAAGTGGAACTATTGCAAGTATACTTCAGGTACACTTTAAATATTTTGCATTTAAAGTCTGATATTATTAAAAAATCATACAATCCTCATCAAAAGTGACATTAAAACACACTTTAGACTTAATATTAAGAAAAGTGCATTGTGCACAAGTAATATGCCAAGTAAAGTTTAATTATAATTTAATAAGTTATCTGTCAGTAAATATGCTAATAGATTTGAACTATACTTAGTATGAAATAAATGTATTTTAAATATATTACTTCTTTACTAGGGATGCACAGGTTTTGGAGGTGCAGTTTGGACCGTTGAACGGTCTTACTGAATAGCAGAATTGTGATTGATGGACAGACATGAGTTGTTAAGAGAACAACTTGATTTATATATACACATTTGGTGTTTCAGAAGAGTGGAAACAAAAACTCATATTTTAAACTGGGGAGTTACCTTTAAAGGTATGAAACTTGCAGTACCTCTTCTATTACAATATCGTTTTCATTTTGTTCTCTTTTCGCTGTCAGTTCCCCTTTTGGCTAATTTTCATTCACGTACATTTTTTTATTGCACACTATTAGTAATTAGAAACTAAAGTTTCACTTCCTTGTCTATTTATTTTCTCCCATGTTAAAGGGGTCATATGATGTTGCTAAAAAGAACATTATTTTGTGTATTTGGTGTAATGAAATGTGTTTATGCGGTTTAAGGTTAAAAAAACACATTATTTTCCAAATACTGTACATTATTGTTGCTCCTCTATGCCCCGCCTTTCTGAAACGCTCGATTTTTACAAAGCTCATTGGTCTGAAAAGCGAGGTGTGCTCTGATTGGCCAGCTATCCAGTGCGTTGTGATTGGCCGAATACCTCAAGTGTGTGACAGAAATGTTACGCCCCTCACCATATTGTGATGCCTTGTCCCAGCCGGAGCGACGAGACAAAAACATTAAAACCCATTATAAACGAGGCATTTGTTGTATCCAGTGGGGACATAATTACGGATTATAATGACTTATGACTGCTGGACACATCTGAATATTTGGGTTGAACTGTTCTGGAACAGTGTTGTAAATACAACTTAACCACTGATTTCTAGTCGTGTCCTCTTTTGGAAGACCAAACAAAGTAGTTTCACTTTCACAACGAAACACAGCGCCACACGGTGCGGGCTAGAGTGAGCAGAGGCCGGTGGGCTTGCGGCAACCACATGTGACAACCCCGGGCTGGACTCCGCTTCACGACATGGCGGCAGCAGCAATACTACAGCGAGAATAAAAGTTACGCCTTCTTTCTTTGCGTGAACATTTGGGCGGTGTTATGCA